CCTGCTGGTCAAGCCAGCACTCCACGGCAGTTTCCATCAGTCATCTGAAGAGTTGATCATTGATTTCTCCTCTCCTTTTATAATTTCTGCTTCCCAGTGTGAAGGTCAAGGATCAATTTCTACATGGGAGGAGTGGGTCACACCCTCAAATGCTGACAGTCTAGTGGGACCCAGAAACTAAGTCCAGAGAGGAAGTAGTGTTCATAGGAATGCTCCCAGGAGGGGCGAGATGGGTAGGGACCCAGGGGCCTCCTACACTCCTCTATTTGTGGAATTGTCTGGACCTGGGCTCACAATGACTCGAGTCTCTCCAAACTCTCTCAGTTCATCCAATGTCTGTAGCTCTCTAATTCCACTTCAGAAATATCTCTGCCAATCCATGGTCTCTTGCCTGGACTTTTCTGGTGTTCCTGCCTACCCTCCCCTACACTGAAGAAACAGTCCAGCACAGGCCTGACCATAATGTTTTCTTTTAATTTAATTTAGTTTTTGTCTTTATTCGTCATAGAGAGCATGCACTGCCACTTGAGATAGACATAGACAGAGAGACAGGGAGAGAGAGATGAGCACCCTCCATACTCAGACCCCCGTTCCTCATCCCAGGCAGGACAGAATCCAAGTGTCGCAGCTGTCATCAAACCTGTGCCTCATGCACCTCTGACCTGCCCATCCCCACCTTCTTACTCAGCTCATGTGGAGACCACAGAGAACATCCTCCTCCCACCTCCACCTGGCCCTACTTAAGGCTAAGTCTAATACCCAGTTGATCCTCAGGCCTCTGCTGGCCTGCCCTCCCTCTCTGGGTCACCAAGACACCATCGGGGCTGTATTCACAGACACACCCCACTCTTTGTGCAGGACAGAGCCAGGGACGTGCAGCATTCAGAACCTGCACAGCCAGAGAGTGAGGAAATGGACAGATGAGTGATTCGTGTTCGCTCTGAGTATAGACTTGTGTTTGCAAACACATTTCTGTGTTGTCTCTGAGGACTTGGAGGCAGAGACAGTTTTCTCCATCTGTGTTCACAAATTTTAGCACTGGACTTGGCACAGAGAACCCACTAGTAAAATACTTTTGTACGTGAATGAGCTTGGGTGCCTCCACGGTGTGCTCTGAAGTGCAACTCTTCGTGTGCACAGAATCAACATACAGAGCATAACTGAAGATGCTACCTATCAATGTGGGAAACACACACTCACGAAACATTACAGGTAACACCCCCAACTCCATCCCTAAACACAGGACGTCTCACCTAGACCCTGCTGAGAAGGGCAGGAAAGCGTGACTATGTCGAGTAGAACCTGGTGCAAAGCGGGAAGGGTCAAACACCTATGGGAGAGAGCAGCAGGACCAGGACAGGTAGGGGTCAACCTCTGTTCTCATCCCATGTGGGGACAGGACACCCAGAGGTAGGAGCAGGCAGAGGAGCTGGTCATCACAGATCTTCCCACATCCTCCTCCCAGGGCCCTCATACCTCTGGGTTTGGCCACACCTTCGGGTTGTGGTGAAGGGCATAAAAGGACAGTGAGACCGAGATACCTGCGGGACAGGCAGGGCACAGAGAGAATGATCAAACCCTTGGGGTGGGCCCTGATCTCACAGCTGGCATGGAGCTGTACAAAGGCATGGATGCCAGAAGATATCACTTTAAATATGATCTGGTTGCGAGAGAGGTGGGATGGGCTTGGCAGAGCCCGTGAACACGGGTTATGGGAGAACAACATGGCCCCAGGACGAGAGCAAGAAAGCACAGGAAGCTTCTCGCTTGTAGTAACTCCAGTGACAGTTACGTTAATACATTTTTCCCCAAAAGATGCTGGTGCTTATACATTAATTCATTTGGTTCTTAGAATAATTCTCCAAGGAGAGTACTTTCATGTCCTCATTTTTCAGATTAGGCATTTGAGGTTCAGAGAAGTGGGGTGTCTTAATTAGTACACAGCTAGGGTGTAACTTAGCTGGGATGAGACCCGATGATGGATGAGGCAAAATATGGCTTCTAACCATGGTGACAGCCACAAATCTAGTCATCAGCTGATCTCTGCCATCAGCCTGAGGGTCCCTTACGACTAGACCAGGTTGGATCTTTGACAGTGCATTTCTGTTCACCCTCATTTCCTAGGCCCTCTAACTGTCAGAACTGTCTCTCTCCAGTTCTCCACATCCAGGAGAATGAGAACTTTTAGGTCTAATGTGTCAAGGCCACATTCAGAGCTAGGGATGTGTATCCATTAGGAGAAAATTTCCAGGATGGATCATCATGATGATAACAGATAAGTGTATTATTTACATTGAACACAGCAGAGCTATCCACATATATGCCAAATATGGAAGATGCTAACAAGTATGACAATGAGACAGAGTGGTCTCAGAGTACTATAAGCTTAGACTCAGAATGGAAGCCTGGAGTGTGATCATGAAAAAATGATAGTGCCACCAAAGTGGACATAACTATAGAATCGTGAGATCCTAGATTCCGAAATCCAATACTAATGGAGTACTAGTCCTGGAGAATGATGCAAGTTTAAAATTCTATTTCTTTAAAATTATGATTTGGAAGGAATCTTACAAGTCACTTAGGACAATATCTCAAAATAAAAAGTGTTCTTGATAGGAAGAGGACTAATATTTACTGAACTTTTGCTATGGTCTAGCACTGTACTAGGCATTTCATACACGTCATTCTAATGTGTATCAATGTCACTGATGAAGAAAAGCAGGGTCAGAGAGGTTCTTATCTGCTCTAACACACCCAGATTTCTGGCCCTATCAGTGTCTCCATGGAGTGTGTAGGTTCGTGCATGTCGGGAAGCTCATACCTTTGGGCAAGGAGCGCCCATCAGGGAAGGTGATGGGTTTGCTGAGGTCTCTGGTAATGACAGGTACTGGAGGGTAGAGTCTCAGGGCCTCCTTGATGCACATGGTGGTGTAGGGCATCTGGTCCAGATGTTCCCTGAAATGAGCCCATCATGGGATGTGCTGTGCCTAGGCAGGCTGGAAGCTTACCCATAACATAGACAACAGGGCTCCCCGACTTGCTCACCAGGAGATGGAGGTGCCATCCCCCAGGAGACTCTGGATTTCCTCCCGGCACCTCTGCTGATGCTCTGGGTGAGTGGCCAGAGCATAGAGGACCCAGGAGATGCCGCTGGCTGTGGTGTCATGGCCCGCAAACATGAATGTGTCCACTTCAGCACGGAGGTCCTGGTCAGACAAGGTGCTCCCACTCTCTGCCTGCGGGAGCCACAGGGAGAATAAAGGGCCCATTCCTCCCTCTTGCTTCTGGGCACAGCCTCGGCCTGTTCTCCACACACTCACTTGGGCCAGAAGGAGGATGTCCAGGAAGTCCAAGTGCCTCCTCCCCCTGACCTTCTCCAGCTCTCCAGCCTCCTGCAGGTGAACCTTCCTCAGCTGGATCACTCTGTCTGTGGCAGATCATTGATTCCAGGAAGAGCAGAGTGCTACAGAAACCCCCCCCCCAGTAGCCCCATCTGTCCCAACTGTCCCAATCTGGGCAGCAGGTAGAGCTCAGGGTGAGTATGGGAATGGTGCATGGATCACTGTGGGGGCTCTGGCACCATGAAGAAGCTGGTATCAACTCAGGAGCACAGTCTGAGGAGTCTCTGCCTAATGCTGCTGGGATGAGATCACAGTCAGCAAGATCAGTGTGATGACACAGGTGACCCCTGCATGCTACCTGACACAGCAACTCCTCAGATACCTTAGCCCCTTACCCCTCATTTTCACCAAGAAAATTCTCAACCTGAGTGGGCCTAGGTCCTGCAGTGACCCAAGGGGCCTGGCTCTGTCTTAGCATTTAGGCCACCTGCTCAGGGCTGTGCCTGGTTAGGGAAAGGACAGGAGTCAGAGACAGGACCTGTATGCTGATGGGCAATCTGGCAGGTGTGGAGGGCCCGGCGGCCAGCAGGAGTCAGCCCGTAGATGATGTCATTCTGGTAAAAGGCATTTCTCAGGCGGGAAAACAATTGGAGTTTCATGTTTCCAATAGCCTGGATGTAGGAGTGGTTATTCCTGAGGAGAAGGTGCAAAAAGGATCAGTGTGGAGTGGGTAACCCTGACTTACAGGAATAGCAGGGCTCTGATCTGAGTGGGAACCGGCCACACAAGGCACCACTGACTCTGTCCTATTTCACTCATGACACTCCTATAAGACGGCATGAGCACCCACGCCTCTCCCATGCTCAGGATCAGGGAACCATGGATGCAACAGGGTCTGCGGTGATCTGGAAACAGAGCTTGCTCAGGGAGAGGACTCTGGTTCATGTGGAGGTGAACATGTGAGCTGCCCCCCCCCCAGTCTCTCCGGGGCATCCACA